AAGTGTTTACCGATCGCAGAGCTTTTGTGTTTAGCAATACGTTGATGGAGGTGTCGAGCTGTAAAGCCGACATAATCTTAAGTGCAGTTGATGATTCTTCCAAGTTCTTGGGTTTAAATGACAAGCGACCAAAATCCCGTGGTCATCCACCAAAGCACTTTCAACCGCTTCTTAAAAAAGAAGATGTCAACATGATCCTACGTGAAATACTACCTCAGAACATAACTGATTCACTGTCGCCCAAGGGTTCCAGACTTGCTCATCTGTTTATTTAGTATTTAAACATTTGTTATCTTTCACTCTTTGGCTTGATAATGACGTTAGCCAAACGTCGAAACGTCGTCAACAAATTTTTAATATGCTTTTACAAAATGTTTTATCGCAATTTTTTATCATTAAATGGGAAGAAGGGCTGTAGAACTGTTCTTCGACCATGTTCAATTTGAGTCGTCTCAAAATAATTTCACTTAAATAGTATTCAGAGTTTGTTTGCGATGTTTGATTCATTTCAGCCCTCGTAATATAGCGTTACGGGTGTTAGGTTGTGCAACAGGAAAGATTCTCAAACGGTAATGATATTAGCCTACTCCATAATGAAAATAAGTAACATACGCAGTGAATGATGATTCATCTTTTGACTGTGCGACTTTCTTTTTCTCAGTAGCCATTCTCCGAAATGTCCAGTTGACAGACAGCCTTTATCGCGTAACAAGGTAATGATAAGGGATGCGTTGATGGTTCCAGCTCACGTAAACTTATTATCACGCTTTCTACTATGAAAGTCTGAGAGTCCATAACTTGCTTCCGCAGAAACTACTTTTTTTAAATACGAGGATTACACGAAAGCACTGAAGCCAAATATGTACTCCTGAGGTATGATCTCCAAACCAAGTTATGAAAGCGCGAATCAATGATACCTCTATGTTGTTGTGGACAGATCTTTTCAGATATTGCCTGTCAACGCACAATTCTGAGTCTTACGGTGCAGTGTTCTAATGCTGAATGTCCATGGACAGGAGAATTGTGAGCTGCGGAGGTGTTTATAAAGATAGTACAGTATTTGCATGAAAACAGCTTGTGTTCCATGCATCTTTAACCCATCACTTGAAATTTGTTTGTGCATTTTCACTCGTTTATTTTGGAATAAATGTGTCCCCTCTCTCCCCTCCCACTCCTTTCATTTCCCACATTTTGAAGATGTATTGGACAATCAAATGAGAAAACTTAATCTTATTCTTCTGCTTTGCTTTTTTATGGTTTCTTTTGAATTCGACGGTATCTTACTGATCACGTTATCATGCTGGAAATTTTCACCGAGTTCATGTTGATGCTCTCCATGGTGGAGAATCATTCCTCTTTGCCATTACAGTGTGAAGATCCCTTTGAGGAAAGTTCTTCGTAAGAGAAATGAAAGGTCTTAGATTAATACTTAAGATTGTCTTAACTTTCTGGCTGAAACTCATTAAAGACGAACTGAAGTCACAAGGAATAATTTTGAGACGTCAATGATTTGTTTCTTCATGCAACAAACGAGTTTTTTTTCTGTCTGCTCACTTAAACGTAACTCTGTTTTATCCTTTTTGTTTAGCTCGTGGCTCATATTCATGATGACTGTCCTTTAACTGAAATTACGTGTGTATACCAGAACTAAAGTGCAAAAAAGTGGTAAGAAATAGCTAACACTGTATTAACTAACACATTTAATTTGGGTGTTGGGTGGAGGGGATCGAACGATTGAAGCAGACATATTTTCCGTATTTTCGAATGTTTGGATCGTTGATTTTACTGAAAAGCTTACTCGATCGCCTTTTTTCTACATTATACGTATTACTGTGTATTATTTAAAGTAACGACTAGATATAAAATCTACCGAGTTAGGATTGTTCTGAGTTTAAAATACCTCATTATCCCTTTTTCAGTTTCCAAGAAATAGGGCCAAATCTCACTTGGAATCACGTATGGAAAGCCACTTGAGCTTAGCTCTTTGCAGCCTTGAGATCACTCAGAATCAGGTTAAAGATCAGTCGAAGGGGATTGAGAGATTGACATCCACTTTGTACGAGCAGTCGCAGCAGTTGAATGATCAGTCACAGCAGATAGACAGATTGATGGCCAAACATTTAAATCAGTCACAAATGATGGAGTGATTGATGTTATCTCTAAAAGATTATTTAGAGCAAATGGCAAGTTTAACGTCTACTGTACAGGGTCAGGCGCAACAGATACAACGATTGACGGTCCAAGTTCAACATCAAGCAGAGAAGACAAAGGAAATGAATAAGGAGAGCAAGGGCCAGTCAGACAAGATGGCAGCAACTAACGTCAGTGTTGACAAGCTTGACCGGAAGAAGTCCAAGGGTAGGGGTCTTGATTATGTTGCTACTTACACACATTGAAACAATAGCCTCCATTTGGCGCGAAAATATGCTCTGACATTTGTAAGCGGACATTATCTGTTCGGAGATGCGCACTGTTTTTCGTGAGCAAAGCTCAAAGAAAACTGAGAGCCACGAGCATATTTTAGCTCCAAGTAGAGGCTAATTTGTTTATTTTCCATTAAACATTTTTGAAACATGCAAGAAAAAACTTTTCCAACCAACTTACCGTTGGCTGCGCGAAATTCCACATTGCTTTTCAGTGTTCTTTAGTACGATTTTATGAACAAAAAAGCATGTCTCCTCTTCTGTAACAACCGCAAAACGCTCCCTCATCTTGAATTGAATTTTAAACGGGAAATATTTTTAGTAGAGGACTAAAAGGAAAATAATTTTATTATTTTCTCTTGATTAGATGTTACGTTTGAAAATTTGGCTGTATCACTCTTTGTATATCATTGAATTTTCCCCCATCTTAGCCAGGGTAAATTCGATCACGGGATGCGATTAATCGCGTTAAAGGATTATAATTATTAACTATTTACCGAACGGAAGGTGGCTAGTGGTATATATTAACCGTGCTGCAAAGGTGCGAGGTAATTATCCAAGCTAGCGATCGGCAATGAGGTGAATACTTGTTTTAGTATATGTACTGAAACAGTGAAATAATATATTACTAAAAGATTAATTTAGCTTATTTATTCCAACAACGAATTCAGTGTTTTCGGGTGCAAATCCCTCGCAAAGGATAAATGCAAAGGATATCCAGAATTTGAATAGTCAGTCCACTGCTTTAGCCAATACCAATAAATGGATGATATCCACCGGAAAAGACCAAGTAACTTCTTTAGCCCCAAAAACAATCAACTTAGAGTTGGACTTTATTATCTGATAGTACACCTATAGAAGTAAGATCACATAACACGTCCTCGTTAGTTGACTTGAACAGCCAAATAGGTGCGCCGAGTCCATTGCGGTATTGTTCATTTTGTCAAATTAACTCTCGCTCAGTGTTATTAAATGACCCGTTCGGCCCCGCTCGCGCAATCCCATAGAACAGTAAAAGATGACGTTTGCAGGGCCGGACGGGTTAACGTTAGCCGGTCCGGAAAAAGCCGTGCAGTCCTGCTGCCTTTACATCGCTTTGTTGCAAAATCTCAGAGAAAAACAGAAATGAGAAAAAAAAGGTCGCGTTTTTTAAGGAATTTGGAGGTTCTTGTTCTGACTTAAGAATAACTTATTTTTCCTTGAAGGAAATGTTTTTATGGTAGATTTTTTTTGTGCTCGTATGGCTGTGGCTGTGTGTGCCCGTCTATCACGTCATATTTAGGTTAAAACTTTCATCACTTAGTGGTCTTATAATAAAATGCATAGTGACTGAGTTAGGTCGGGCCGGACGGGAAAATATTTGGCTCTCGTCTAAAGTCACTACACAGAGTTAGGTCATTTGAACTCCGAGTAACACTACTAGGTTGTGTGAAGCTTTGAAGACTAAGAAACATCAGTGAAGTCTAATAGATGATCTTGATATATTTAGTAAGATGGTCGCTTTAATTATCAATTCTTTTTGTCATTCTTGATTAAGATAATTACTCTGTTGTCGTTTCAGGTGATACTATGAAACAGGTCTTCAAGCCTGAATCAATCAAAGATATTGAAGTAGGTATGAAGGTATTGTTCATGAATTTGTATAGGACATTACGAGGAACAGTCAAGTACGTCGGATCTGTGCCTTGGCAAAGTGGAGATTGTCTCAGGGTAGAGTTAGATCCAGATCAAGGTATTATGATTATTTCGAGTGTACTAATTCAGATAACTTGTGAGTACATGGCTCATGACGAAAGTGAATAATATCTAAACTCAAAACTTTTAAAAATACTCTACATCGAATTTTGTATGTAACAAGCATCTTTCCTTCGGACGAAAACTTTTTTCACGGTGTCCAGGGAACTGTCCCGGAGTAAAGCTCAGACATTGATAGGCATCATTCCAATATTTTCTGAAGGTAATAAAACGAGGGTACTCAGTGAAGGCTAGTTCCGATATAGTTCACCCTAAGGTCAAAACGTTGTCCGTTCATGTTGAAGTTTGTTGGAAAAGCTAATCACTTCAATCACAGAAAAAATAAACCTGCAATTTGGTTAAAATTTGTCAGCTTATTTTTTAGTAATAAATCGGGCTTGCCTTTTATATCGATTTACTCGTACAGTGGATACCATCTGGCTTATTCTTTTTCAGAGTTTCCATCCCATGCAAACGACGGAACAATCCGTGGAAAAAGATACTTTACCTGGTGAGTAATATTAGGTCTCTCACTGAATAGGATTTTTGTGACATGAATACGCCATACACTGGGGGGAGTATGCCATTTGACATCGATGGCGCATGATATATTTATAGGGACAGAATTGATTCTGTAACATTCCCATTTACTCATGCTCATTCTTTTGGGTTGTTTTCGTTAAAAATAGACCGGGGATGTTTTTTGTTGGTTGTATGAACACAACGTTCACCAGGTGTGCATCTTCGCGGGTTTGCGCAAGTTGTCGAGTGCTATAAATGACAATTAAGAGAGTTTTAGTGACTGAAATATTCGCATTTGATGTATTTGCCACTTTAGGTAGACTGACAGATGTCGCGGTAAAATGTATGATGTTATAGTAAGGACAATATTAATTCTGTGACGTCTCCATTAAATCATGCACTTTCGTCATCGATTGGTTTATTAAAAAATGACAAACGATCTTTTTTGTTTATTGTATTAACCCTCAGTGCACCTGGTAGCGGCTGCTTTGTATTTTTTAAAAGCGTTGTGGAGTGTTACACACGATGATTACAGTAATATGGCTCCTGTTTTCTTGGCTTCCCATGTGAAAGAACAGGAAAAGTCAGAACAGTCTCTTTACCATCTCGAAATGTCCGTCCACTGCTTAAAGGACACTTTGTCGACAAGTCACAGTAACTACAACTTGGTCTACCATCAGTTTGTAAATTCAATAGAAGCTGGCATGCTTGCATCAGGGCACATAGAGTTTACGAAAGTATTGTATTAAAGTAGATACTGTAGGTCCTTCACTTTCAGACGTTTGTTCAAAAAAAGTATTAAGTGAACTTTCTAGCTAATCGTAGCTCTTTAGTTTTCTTTGTCATTCAAGTATCATGTGCGTAGAATTTCTGAAACTACAAAATAAAGGTTGATATTATGTATTAAACTAACTGCAATATAGAAAAGCCGCGAAGGCATTATATCAGCGGTTAGCTGGGAGGAAAGATGCACTTTTCTGAAAACCAAATGTTTACCCGGCGCAAAAGGTTTATGAACAGCTTATGTTCAGATGAACAACTCAATGATGTAACACTCTACTGATGGATACTCGTAAACAGTTATTATAAATTTAAGGAAGAGAAAGTTCAGTAGCAAGGATGTCGTAGCTAACTGCTTACAGCTTCAAGATCTACAGCCTTCTAGATAGTCAGAGGCAAACCTTCGGTAACTCAGTGATAGTGATTAAAGTTCTCATTCTAAATTTTATTTTCGCTTTTATTATTTTTTGTTTCTTGATGTTGGGAGTTTTCGAAGTCTTGTGAAACCTTTTACGGTCGTCCGAGATAGTTATTTCAAATGAAAGAAGGTCGACCATAATTTTCCCTTTAATTTCAGGGGGCATCTTGCCACGAATATTGCATAAGGATAAAAGTGGAACACTACTACAGGAAGTACTCTCGAAAAGTGTCGTTGACAATTAGTTATGAAAATAGTGCGCAAATGTTCTTTCGAGAGCACCTCCGGTGGAGAACTTCTCAGTAAATGCAGTGTGCTTGGACTTAACTCCTACTTTAATATTTCACGTGATTCTTTGAATGCACACCTACAAAATTACCTCTTAAAGAGGCTGACCCAACTTGCAAGGAGAGATTTTGTCGCAACGTCACCCCCAAACCAACAGATCTCGGTTACAAGAAAAAACTGCACCTCAAAAAGATATCCATTAGGGTAACGTCAGGTAATCTGAGTCAATTAGGAAACTGGGAATACAGCGTTTGTATAACACAACATATAACGACAACCGTCTCCCTCACATCTGTAAAGGAACTTCGTGAGTTTTCACCAACATTAGTAAACGAGTTGTCGTCTCTTGTGATACCTTTGTCTTCGAAATCATACGTTTTAGACCCAATTCCGGCTATCTCAACGAGAAAATGTCATGACACTCTGCTACCTGTGATTACTGATATTGTTAGTCTGTCTTTCAACAATGCCATTGTACCTACAGCCTTCAAAGAAGCTGTCGTTGACCCCATAATGAAAAAGGACTTTCTAGATCATGAGGTATACAAAAACTTCAGACCTTTTTCGAACCTAAGCTTCATTTCCAAAGCTGCCGAGAAGGTTGTAGCTGTGCCTCTCAATCACCACCTTTTAAATGACTTAATCAACTAGCGCCATCCTAAGTGACTCTTAATTCACTACAGACATGGTTAATATCTTAATGATAAATTTTTCATTATGTTCGTCTGATAAAGAAATACTGATACAGCCCCGCTACCAACTCAGAACATATAGGGAGGGAACTTTTTCCTTCATGAACCCAAAACCGTGGAATACCCTCCCATTAAGTATAAAACGTTGCAAGTCAACAGAATCTCTTAAATGCACTCTTAAGGCCTATCTTTTTAGAAATTATTTTGAATTGTAAGAATCATTAACTGTTCTTTAGGCTTTTTTCTTCATGTTACATCATTCACAGCTGGAAAGTGCCATTGGTTCATTAGAGAAACAGCGCGACACAAGAAGATTATTATTGTCATTATTATCTTTATAATCCTTTACGCTTTATAATCCTTTAGGTGTTATTTTGTTTGAAGAGATGAAATATTAATCCCTCTTGGCGGTTGAAGGTTTAAGGCAGCACGGCGTAAAATGATGCGGTGTGATTTTCAGTAACAAAAAAAGGCTTGTAACATATAAGTTCGTTAGTAATAAAAATAATAATGATAACAGTTTATTACACTATCTTGAAGTAACTTACTAAATTAACGCCTCCCGGTTAGCTCAATGGATAGAGTACTGGACTGTTGTGCAAGAAGTCGAGGGTTCGAGCTCCGGCCGGACCAACACTCAAGGTCTTAAAATAATTGAGAACAATTTGCTGCCTTTGTATAACATCAAGAAATGGTTAGATATTCTAGTCTTCTCGGATAGGGACGAATAAATGGAGGTCCCGTCTCCTGCAGGGTTAGGGGCAGGAGACGTTAATTTCCTACGCACGAGATTACTGTGTGATGGATGTCCTCCCCTGGGGTGGGATGGGTGGGATTGTTGCGAAGGCCGTAAGCTAGATAACTCATTGGGTTAACTACGTCACCCTCGTTAAATAAAGAATATTGTATTGTATTGTATTGAGTTATAATACAGTGAAAACTTATTAAGATCGACTATGTACATTTCTGAATACATTAAGTACAAATTATATACACCACACCAAAACATGAGTCACATTTGTCAGTAAAAAACTTAAAAGTGAAAAAGTCTTCGGTGTGCTTCGTTCTACAGGCAGTAACGTTTCTGTAAAGGTACAGCTGGTCTGATTGGTGCCTGAGGGTGTAGGGACAAGTATCGTCTAATCGTGTTGGTAGAGGAGGATGAAGAGGGAGGTTTAAGTCCTTCATTTTGCACATATACTCTTTACATATCTTATCTCTTCTATATGCAAGGGTCTCTACCCGTGCAAACTCGAGGACATCTGAGTAGCTATCTGCACACAGGAAAATTATCTTAAGCGTCCCTTTCTGTATGGATTCAATTTTGTCAGACAGATAACCTGGAATGGATTACCACACTAGCACGGCGTACTCTAGAACAGATCTAACAGAGCTTGTATAGACCTTTCACATGCTACTTTGGTCAACGCCGGCTCGACGTAGAATACGTAGGGAGTAGAGCTTCTTGCAAGATTTTTTATATATGTATTCAACATGACTATTCCACCTAAGATCGCTGTCGATGAATACTCCTAGAATCTTGTAAGTCGATACGCGTTCTACAGTGTTATTACTAACAAGCAGCAGCACAGCACTTGCATTATAGCTTTGGAGATTTCGTATGAAATTAATCGACGACGGCGACAAAATGGCGACTGAGAGTAGTTTTATTCATTATCATAATTACTATCTATTTATTAATTTTTTATACTAATTTCACCGATAGAGGGAGTCTGGCAACTAGGTTTCTTTTTAGATGCTGATCAAACATGCAAAAATCTAATTTTCACTTCCGGTTTCGATCCGAAACCAAGGTGACAATGGCGGCGGGCCAGAATGTTCCAGAACCTGGCGGCTATGATTTTGAGTTCACAAGTAAAGTCCCTGATGATTTGGAATGTCCTGTGTGTCACTTTGCAATGAAAGATCCCGTACAGATCGTCAGATGTGGTCACAGATTTTGTAATCTCTGCCTAGAGGGTTGTTTTAGGTAATGGCGGATCACGGGCGCTGCCCTTAATTGCGAACACATTACAGTAGGTTTTGCTTGTTTGAAACCAGTACGATGCTATCAATCGATCGGGTAACCTGCACTCCAAGGGACTATTCATTTTTTATCTGACAATCATCGGCTTGATAGCGTTACCAACTGATTTTCAGTCGAACTTGACTGGGGTGATAACAAATGCTCCGAGTCAGTTGTATACGGCCCGACTGATTAATATGTAAACTGAATAATTTACTTATTTCGACACAACTTAATCGATCTGATTTATCGATCTATGAGAAATGGGATTGCAGAGTCACCTTTAGACCATCTTCAATTTGAGTCTGCTGTTAGTAATTTGAATTTAGCATCCAGAGTTTGTTTGCGATGTTTGATTTATTATAGCCCTCAGTAAAAACCGTCACGGGCGATAATTGTGTACCGAGAAATATTCTCAAACGGTTAAGATACAGTGCATTGATGACAGTAAATAACATATATGGTAAATAAGAATTCTTTTTTAACTTTGTGCGGATTTCCTTTCCTCAGCAGACATTCTCTGGAATGTCCAGTTGACAGACAGCCTTTTTCGCCTGATAAGGTAATAATAACGGATGCGTTGTTGGTAATGGGTCACGCAAACTTATGATCACACTTTTCACTTGACATCAATGATGAAATGTCTTTTTAACTTTGTGGTCAAAATTGGTAACCTGGTCTGAAATTGGTGAGCTATGATGAAACATCGATTGTTTCTAGAAGTAGCTTATGCAAACATGCCTGAGTTTGTATTTTCTGATTTGCAACAATGTTATTACATTATCTTGCAGAGTTCTCCATGGGTATCGAAAACGTTAATTTTTACAAGCTACTCTTAATGTACAATGAAAAATTATAAAACTGAGTTAGACTTATTTTCAATGAGACGAAATGGTTGGCATAGAGACTTTGATGTACGACCAAGAGAGTTTATGACTTACTTCAGTGGAAACCAATTTTTAATACCTAACGATAATTACACGACTCACACTAAAGCACAGAAGTCAGGTATGTGATCCATGAGATCTGATCTCCAAACCAAGTCATGAAAGTGTGTTTCAATGATACCTTTATTTTTTGGTGGACAGATCTTCTCAGATATCGCCTGTCACCGCAGAATTCTGAATCTCACGGCGAAGTGTTCTTATGCTGGATGTCCATGGAAAGGAGAACTGCGTGCTGTGGAGGTATTTATACAGACAGTGCTAAGTTTATCTTTAATACTTCTTATCTTTAACACATCAATTCAAATTTGTTTGTGTATTTTCACTTGTATATAATCGGCTTATCTTTGTTCTCTTCCCCAGCCCCCCTTCCCCTTCCTTTCATTTCTCAAATCCTGAAAATGACGATCAATAGCATAAGAAAACTTGATCTCATATTTCTGTTTTGCGGCTTTTATGATTTCGTTTGGCCTTGAGAGTGTCTCAATGATCACTTTGCATTACTAGTACCTTTCACTGAACGTTTTGGAATTTTGATTCCTAGAGCCATCAATCAGAATGCTTGCTGAAAGTGATAGAGTGTCCAAATGAAGGATGTAAAGAGAAGCTTACCAGGCTATATATGAACAATCACAAGATGAGCAAATGTACCTGGAGGAAAATGAAATGTGAATATTGTGTAGAATCATTTATCATGAGAAACAAGCAGGTTTGGTAATCACAATCTTTTCTTTATCTACCTTTTAGAAGAATAGAATCCAAACCGTTTACTTTTCACTGAAACTGACAAAGGTTGCGACGAGTTCCGAAGGATCTTTCTTACTTTGCTAGAGCTCATTACTATTTTTTTCAGTCAAAACAAATTGATGAAAGTAAAACAAGTTCGGCTCATATGATGGGACTCCTTAAACTTTGATTCCCTAACGATCAACATTTGAGTTTTTTTACTCCTTTTTGGTTCGTTTCTACAATAGCTTGTCTGATAGTCATAATTTTAATGAGATGGACGAAATCTGGAGGTACTCTAGTTATAAAGAGCTTTATTTGATTCTTTCAGCAACATCATAATGTCTGTCAAAAGTTTCCGGTTCAATGTACAAACAACTGTGGTTTGAGGGATATTCCACGAGAAAAGGTAATAGTTATAGCTAACACCGGCTAAAACCTTTTTGGAATGCCAAAAAAGAATCTGGAATGAACTAACTAGTACAAAATTAGCCAATCAGCTAACTTTTAACTTGTTGAGTAAGCTTCTCATTCTCAAAAAGTAAAAACTGTCCAATCATCAATCCGTAATGTGACAGCTCATCAAAAACAAACTTATTCAGTACACAGTTAAACTGAATGAGTTTGGAATTGTACTGAATGAGTTTTAATTTATACTTAAGAAGTTTGCAGACAGTTATTCTGTATTAAGGCCCGCTTAAAAGATTTTAACATTTACTTCAGCATCAGAATTCAACAATTTGTTGAACCTAATTTTCGGTGCGTTTTTTCAACATTGTTGAAAACGTAAAAAATGTAGAAAGCTGTTGAAAGCGCGTTGAATCAAGTTTAAATCGGTTTAAACTTTCATTCAACATCGATTCAACTTTTCCTTTGTAAGGCCTCTGTAAGACCTTTGTACAGCGTACGGCTTTGTAAAACGCCGCCGCTCAATTTTATTTTTGCGTTCAACATTAATTTTGCCCAACATCCGTTCAACTTTTGTCGAACGAATATTGGTCAAATGTGAAACCGTTTATACGGGCATTTAGAGACCCTTAGCAGTCGGCAACGCTACGAAAGATGTCGAGTAAAAATCGATTTATTTCAGTATTTAGGGCCTACCACA